ACTTATCCACAGACTGCAGTCCCTTAGGGGAGTACCTGCTCTAAATGTAGCCTTATCTGTGAGCCACAGCCTCTCCAGGAGTATACCTGCTGCAGCATAGACTGATCCACAGCCACATTCACTTTGAGGTACACCTGTCCCAGCGTGGCCTTCTCCATGGGCCACAATGCCTTCAGAGATACACCTGCTCCAGTGTGGCCTTACCCACAGCCGCAGTCCCTTCAGAAGTAAACCTGCTCCAACATAGCCTTACCTATGGCTGCAGTCCTTCCAGGGGCGTACATGCTCTGTTGTGGGCTTATCCCATGCTTTGAGCCATTGTGTTACCAAAATGTTCCCAGGCACAGCATAGTAAAATGATAAGCAGTACAGCAAGCAGCAAAAGCAAAAAGCAGCCACTAACAAGCACTAGACTAATATACAGTAAGGCAAGCAAGCCCCAGGGCAAGCACAGGAACCTGTCAATTAATAGCTAAACAGTAATAACAGCTATAAATTTGATCTAGCACGTTGCAATCAACTCTGTTGTTATCTCAAACCTGTCAGGCCCCACGTTAGGTGCCAAAAAAGACTGTCGTGGTTTAACCCCAGCTGGCAACTAAGCACCACACAGCCGCTCGCTCACTCCCTCTGCCTGGTGCAGTGGGGGAGAGAATTGGAGGAGTAAGAGTGAGAAAAACTCCTGGGTTGAGATAAGAACAGTTTAATAATTGAAATAAAGTAAAATAGTAGTAGTAATAATAACGATATAATAGTAATAATAATATACAAAGCAAGTGATGCACAATGCAACTACTCACCACCCACCGACTGATACCCAGACAGTTCCCGAGCAGCGATCGCTGCTCCCCGGCCAACCCCCCCAGTTTATATACTGAGCATGATGTCATATGGTATGGAATAGCCCTTTGGTCAGTTTGGATCAACTATTCTGGTTGTGCCCCCTCCCAGTTTCTTGTGCACCTGGCAGAGCAGAGGAAGCTGAAAAGTCCTTGACTAGCATAAGCTATGCCAGCTACTAGGAAGAAAATTAACTATCCCAGCTGAAACCAGGACAAGGAGAGAAGTGGAAGAGTAAAAATGAGAAAGCCTGTGGGTTAAGATAAACACAGTTTAACAGGTAAAGCAAAAGCCACATACACAAGAAAAGCAAAACAAGGAATTAATTCACTACTTCCCATTGGCAGGCAGGTGTTCAGCCGTCCCCAGGAAAGCAGGGCTCCATCATGTGTGACAGTTACTTAGGAAGACAAACACCGTTGCTAGCTACTATGAAGAAAATTAACTCTATCCCAGCCAAAGCCAGCACAAATGTTTAGTATCAAATTTACTTATTTGAAGATAGTTGATGTTACATGGGTGCTGTGGGTTAACACTGGTGGGCAGCGAGGCACCACACAGCCACTCGCTCACTTCCTCCTGACCCCCAGTGCAATGGGGGAAGAGGAAGGAAAGAATAAAAGCAAGAAAACTTGGGGGTCAAGATGAACAAATAAAAAATCAAAGGGTAAGTGGAAGAAGAAAGAAGAAAACAAAGCAAGACAAGTGATGCCAAGGGAATCACTCACCGCCTCCCATGGATAGGCTGATGCCTAGCTAGTTGCCAAGCAAAAGACAGCTAACACTCCTAAAACTCCCTCTTTTCCCTTTCATGGCTGAGCATAATGTTATATGGAATGGAATATTTCTTTGCTTAGTTTGGGTCCTCTGCCTGGTTGTGTCACCTCCCAACCTATTGTGCACTCCCCAATGTATTAGCTGTGGGGGCAGAGTGAGAAACAGAGAAAGCCTTGATGCTGTGCAAACACTGTTCAGCAAAAGCTAGGGCATCTGTGTGTTATCAGCATTGTTGTGGTCAAAAATCTAAACCATAGCATCATATGAGATGCTATGAACATAATTAACTCTATCCTAGCCAGGCCCAGTGCAATGAGATTTCTGATGTAGCAGGGTGATGCAAAATACACTGAAAACACAGTACAAATGTAAGGTTACACTTACCAAAACATAGCAATTGCAATGCACGCTTCAATCACAATACCAATGTGATTCCCGTTACAGGTCTGTATAATATGCTCACCGTCATGACACTGGGCATCTCCAGTCCCCAGGAATGTGGATTGAAGCCACCTCAAGCCTGTTTCTTTCTTCAGAATTCTTTTATTAGTTATTTAGTTTTTATACTGCTATGTTGGGCCGAGCCCTGTGTTCACTCCCCCCCATGCTGGTCTAGCTAACTCGGGGAGAAACACTGATACCACCAGTTGATCCACTCAGCTAACATAGCCATCTATCTACAACAAAGGCCACCCTCTGGTCCCCTTTGTGTTGAGACAAAGCTTCTTTGCAAGAGCGGAGCTCAGTCACACCCTGTGTTACTCTCTGAGCTTCATGGGCGCATTGCCCTTGGCCATCTCCACTGAGCCTTCTTCCATTGTAGGGGTTTATTGGTCAGTCACAAAGCCCTAACTCATGTGGTGGGCTGTACAGGGGCTAGTCAGATCCTGAAAGTGCTTGACTTGGCTCCTGCAGCCAACTCTGTTATTTCTGGGATGAAATACCAATTGCAATGTCTTTCTCTTAGAGTTGTATTTTGGTAGGGCAAATAAGGACTGATGTGTTCTTTCCTGTAGATAAAAAAGACAGTTCCTCTGCTAAAGCTTCGAAGGACAACAAAGAAGATGAGAGTGATGAGCTATGCTTGTTCTATGTCTGGAAGTACTGCAAACATAAAGGTAAGCTTTATAAAAAGTAAGCTTTATAAAAAGTAACCTTATCTTTGGAGAGCAGCATCTGCAGAGGCACTCCCTGCTCAATGGCTCAGACTAATGGTGGCAGATGGAGTGACAGTGGCAATTGTGCCTTCTCACTCATTCGCTTTGTTTCCAAGTCACTAATAAACATTGTCAGAATTATAAATATAATCAGAGGAAAGTCAAGTGGATACACTTAAACCCTTTCTCGTCTAAATGATTCATCTGTGGCCTATTTCAGTCCTGTTGATGGGGGCAGGCTTTGGGTATGTTTCTGTGGCAAAAACCCTTCAAGTGTTAAATGTTACACTTTCTGTAACTATTAGATCAATTTAAGAGCCAGCCTTATGCTGTCATCATTGACCACTGGTAACAGTATGCCATCCTTTATTCCTGCTGTATCCTGTGTACATCAGATAATAGCCATATTCTCCCCCATTAAGTCCTTTAAAAAGTGATCTGAGGTGTTAGAACATCTTAAGAAAACACAAGAGTTGTACCAGCTAAGCTGAAGATAAATCTAGGTCCTTGTCTGTCCAGCAGTGGCCAATAACAGGGGTCTGGGGAAAAATATAAGTATAAACAATTGTGTTCAGGGGATGTCCCTGAACAGTCGCCTAACCCCCAGGTTAGGCTCTTCCTTGGTTATGAGGAGGTGCCATGAGATTTTCTTTCAGTGAGCTTGTCCAGTCACTTTCTAAAGGACTACTCCTTTTCTGACCTCCTGGTCTAGGTAAAAGATCCACTTAAATTAGATCAGACTGTGTTTGCTTTTGTTTAGGATGTGGACAATAAGTTGCCTGATAACTGTTTGGTCTGAGATGTTTGTGTGTATTTAGCATTTGTGTAGTGGGTTTGTGTTCTGGTAAAGGTGCAGTTCTCCCATCAGAAGCTCCTTTTCTGAGAGGCAGATGAGTAAGTTACTTTAGGGCTTGATAATACCTCTTAACTGTTACTTTGAAGAGAGACAGCACTTTAAAAAATAAATTATCTCCTTTATGGGTATTTTATGGATCATAGAAATGAAATCTGGCCAGGAGAGACCAAGTGTGGTTTTGTCTGCATCTTTTCAAGTTAATTTAAGCACAGTGCCTTCAAGACAGGGTGCACTCCAGCCCTGTTAACAAAAAGAAGGAAGAAAGGAGTGAATGACTGTTGTCTTCATAACTGGGGTTAATTTCCGTATGTTCTGTGGTCAGATACATCAGGGGTCAGGAATCGTGGAACTCCTTTTGGCTCTGTCTGTGCAGCAGCTACGCCAGCCTTGTGTCACATTTCTCTGCTTCTTTAGGACCAGGCTTGAAGCTTAGGTTTATGAACTTCTGGACCTGTATAATGTGAATGGAGTACCTATGTGCTAGCTGTGGAGGTCAGGCTCAAAGCAGCTGTACTGTGACCACCAAATAGCTAAACTCAAATAACGGTTGGAGAGTTAGTGTGCTTTGCCATGCCATGTTTGGCTCAAAAGTTGTAAATAAGAGGTTTGGTCCATACTCGGGTGTGGAGCAGACATCAGCTTCCCCCAGCAGGGAGGCCTGGAGGTCAGCCTCTGCCTGTGTCCAGCAGTATGCACTCATGCAAGGGTGTTAAGCAGGTCTGAATTCAAACACGCAGGCATACCTGCATTGAAAACATAGATGATTTTAAAAAAACCCAAAAGTCATCTTTTCCTGTGTGAAGGGTGTTTAGCACTGCAGCAGGTCTTGCATGCAAGGCCATTAAAAGTTGCTGCTTCCCATTTTCTGAGGAGCGAAGCAACAATTCCAACAGTGCCTAGCAGTCTTGTTAGTAGGGCAGTGTGCTATCTGTTCAGGGGTGAGGGTAGGGTTCCTCTTGGGGCGTGTTCTGTGGAGTATTGCAGTCCTGTATGCTGCCTCATTTGTTGGGCTGGGCCTAAAAAAAATTCAGGCCTTGGTAACCATCACATAAGCTCTAAGGGACTAAGGGAAAGACAGTGCCAAATATATTGGAGTGCTTACGTGATGTGTAGACTAGGCTTTTTACAGCTGAGAAACATGGTGGTGTGACACGTAGACACACTTCCTATCTGTGGCACTGCTCTCCCAGCTGCCAATGTCGTGTCTCAGCAAAGGGAAGGTTGTGGTTTCTTTGAAATATATTGAATACGGCAGTGTGAGAGTTTATGTTGCTTTTCTAGATAAGACTGGAGAAACACACACCCCTATTGTTCAAACATATTTCTATTTTCAGCACTCTGTCTTTATTGCTCATACCAAAGCCTAGGAGATAAAGCCAGAGTGTAAAAAATGCTTGTTCCATTTTTTTTTCTTGTCTTGCTCTCTGCGTTATGATTGCAGAGCTCTTGACTACGTCCAATCTCATTACAGATAAATGCAGATTTGTTCATTACCATTTGCCATATCGATGGCAAATATATAATGGGATCACCTGGAATGACCTTTCCATGATGGAGGAAATTGAAAAGGCCTATTGTGACCCAAAAAACAGCAGGTATAATGATGCTGGATTGCTTGCTTAGAGTACTGCGGTTGACCCCTGAGGAAAAACTCTTGTTTTCTTCCTAAATATGTCTAAATTCCATAACTTCTGATTACTGAGCTTCTTGGAATCTGGGAGGATGCACAAATGGGAATTTTTCTTTTTAAAAAGAAAAGTAAAAGTGATTTCATGGTGATATTTCTATCACCCTATTTTTGTCTTCTAAAAATATCACAATAATATCTTGCATTTAAAAATCTATACAGGATAAAAAGAGGTGGGTGCAATTTAGCGCTTGTAATATTAGTATTTCAGATAATTAATCATAATTTATTTATAATAAATAAGTTGGGCCTTTTAACAACAGTTCAGAGCCGATCCTTCTCTATGGCTATTCCTTTCCTAATGCAGCTAGTATCTA